CAACCTATTACCCCTCCCTCCTCTTCTCCCACTTCCCCCACCTACCCCCTTCCCACCCCCATCCCCTCCTCATAGAGAGTAAGGCTTCCCTTGGGCAGTCAACACAGGCTGTTATACCATGTTGGGGCTAGACCTAGCCCCTCCCTCCTGCATCAAGGCTGAGTAAGGCATCACACCATAGGGAATGGGGTCTAAAAAGCGAGTTTGTGTACCCGGGGTAAGTCCTGGTCCCATTGCCAGGGGACCCACAAACACATCAAGCCACATAACTTTCACCCACATTCAGAGGGCCTAGTTCGGTCCCATGCAGGCTCCCCAGATGACTGTGCATTTTTATAGTGGCTACTTTATTTCATCTTTATTAGGTTACTCCAATGCTGATGTGGTTACAGTGCTTGATCAGCTCATTTGGAATTTAACTTGGACATTCTGAATATCATATATGAGATCCCAAGTCTTCTAAAATTCTATGGTGAAGTCAGCCTTTCTGTTCTCCTAAGCAAGCAATGTGGTAAAGGGCAGGGTGTGACTGCTAGTCTGTCTTGTCCCTATACTGGTCAAAGAGGCGGCTTAAAGACACAGGCCGAACCCTGTGTACTTGTTCTATTCACTGTGGAGCTTAGGAAGTTAGAGGGCTTTTTAGTTTGCTAAGTAGGATCAACATCAAAGCATTAATGATTTGAAAGTGATCCTGGGGTTCAAAAAGTTATTTATATGGTTCCCCTGGGCTTCTGTGCCCCTCAGTCTTCCCCCTACATCACAGTTCCCTGGGCTCCCAATTCATGCTCTGGCCAGGAACCTGGCGTCCTGATGACTCTTTATTTCGTACTTTCCTGGGCAGGACTTCATCCTCACCCGTGTGGAAGAGGAGAAATTTGCATTGCCTTTTGAAGCCATAGCTTTTCTAATCAGAAAATCTGCCCTCTCTTCAAGTTGAAGCTTCTGTTGGCTTCCGTAGCTTCTGGCTATCCCCACAGTACCGCCTCCAAGTCTCCTCAAGCTAACAGGACTATGGATGTGTTAACTTTACCTTTTGGAGTCTGCCTAAGCCAACATGACCTCTACACTAATTACTACTGAAGGGGAAGTTGCATGACGTAGAGAATTCCTGTAGTTAAACATGATGATCTAACTCAGTGCCTAGGGTGAGGACAAGGTGAGGCTATCAGGTAGTCCCTATTTTACTTATAATTTTAGATTATCACATTTCCAAAAGTTAAAAGATGACAAAATTATAATTATAATTGAAGTGAAACTATACCTATGCTTACATGGAAATATGAATCTGTTTACAAAGTGTTATACTTTCAAAGAGAGTATTTCTTGCCAAATACTGTTTGGAATTTTTTTAGCTTTGTATTGTCTTACTTTTAATCTTTTAAGTTTAGCAATAGCTGGCCTCCAAAACAATAAAGATGAATTTATACAATACTATTTTCAAAGATTTAAATTTCCCATTAGAAAACACATTTTTTGGGGAGTATCTGTATGTATGTGTGTATAAAAGTTATAGGCACACATGTGGAAGACAGAGGAGGGCATTGGGTATCTCCGACTTATTCCTTTGAGACAGTTTCTCACTCAACTTGAAGCTAGGTTGGTGGTCAGTAAACCCCAGAGATGGTCCGCGGCTGGGGTTACAGACACCCGTGAGGCCATGTTCAGGTATTTACATGGATGCTGGGATCTGAACTCATGACATCATGCTTGTTCGGCAAACCTCTTACCACTGAGTCATCTCCCCAGCTTTTTTTTTTTTTTTTTCCTTTTTCTCTTTTTCCAATAAATTTTGATTGCCTACTGTGTGGGACTGTGTGCATTCTAATGATACCTCATCAGGCTCCTCTTGGTTTTTAGGAATTTAGAAAATATAGTTGAATTGTCTATTTAAATGTTGGTAACACTGTTAAGCATGAGTTTCATGGCAGACTTTAAAAAACCATGTTATTTTAATGTGTATAACCGGTTGTTTTCTTGCATGTGTACCACATGCATACAGTGCCGACGGGGGCCAGAAGAGGGCACCAGATGCCCTGGGATTAATGTTAGCGATGGTTGTGAGCTGCCACGTGGGTGTGGGGAATTGAACACCGATCCTTAGAAGAGCAGCCAGTGCTCTTAGCCACTGAACCGTCTCTCCAGCCCCAGTGGTAGATTTTTCAAAGCCTGGAGGTAGGGTTGGAGGAACTGACAATGTTCCAATGAACCGTCAAAGTGCTGTTAAGTTGCTTTGTTCCCCTTGAAATGGAATGCAAACTAGTCAATTGCTGCCATTCTGTTTACATTGTTGATGTGTTTGCCTCTCCCTCTCCGTGTGTCTTCAGTCTAGATACAAAGCTTGCTTGTTGCTACACTGTGAGAAACAGGACAAAATAAGGAAGAAAACAAGCATTTAAGAGTTCCTAGAGGGTTTAAGAGAGATGGCTTAGCAGTTAAGAGTGCTGTCTGGCTGCTCAACTCTTCTAGAGGTCCTGAGTTCAAATCCCAGCAACCATACTGTGGCTTACAATCATCTATAGTGGGGTCCAATGCCCCCTTCTGGTGTGTAGAAAAAGCACTTGTGTACGTAAAATACATAATCGAACCTTTAGCTGGACCTGGTGCACTGGGGAGGCCGAGGTAGGTGGATCCATGTATGTTTGAGGCCAGCATGGTCAACATAGTGAGTTCCAGAACAGCCACCTGTCAAAACAAAACAAACAAACAAACAAACAAAAACCCCACCTCCAAACAACCAAAAGGTTCATAGGAAGTTGTGTTTCATAAGTGATAGGTACCTTGTCAGCACTATATACCAGGAATGTACACCTCCTCCAAAAATCAAACCACAAATGTAGATTCAGAGTTTAAAACAAACTAGGAATGGCCATTTCTAAGGAAGAAGCAAAGCAAGTAGAGAGGGAGCGATGAGAAAGAGCCAGTACTCTGAGCTGGAGGACTGCTCTGCACAGGGAAGCTTGCTTTGGCAGCCGGGCAACATTGGCAGGCTTCTGGGGAAAGCAGCGGGCTCTTTTAGAAGCAAGACTGGTACAACATGGAACTGCAGTAAACAGCTTCTCAACCTGTGTGAGAGCTGCAAAGGTTGTGGCGACTGTCCACAGGCCATCGTGGATTTTGGCTTAGGGGCTAATTCTAGGGAACAGAGCAAAGGCAGAGATTCCCTGACCGGTGCTGCAGACCTAGCAAGTAAGAGTGGCCCTGTGCAGCAGGGCCAGGGAAGCTGAGCAGGAAGTCAGGAGAGCAGCGGAGATCAAAGTCCGACCCAGTGGATCCAGTGGATCCCTCTCCTATTCCCCATCTAGAGGCCAATTCTGTGTTGCTGTGAGGGGCTGATAGGACACGGCAAAGCATGGACTGACTAGGTGGGAAGATGAGCGGTTCTCACATGTGATTCTGCTCAGTCAAGTCCTGGGATACAATAATAGTCCTAGAATGAAAAAGGGGAATTCAAAAGATTTTAAAGGAAGGGAAGGACTTTGGGATAGGAGGGCAAGGAAGTAGAGATGGCCAAAGCCATGTTTCAATTTCTTAGGATTCTATAATTCTGAATAGAATCGTCACCAAGAAGCAATTTGGATGGAAGAGTTTTATTTCTGTTCTGACTTGTACGTTGACAGTTCTGCCCTGAACATAACACATATGCCACCGATGGCCTTTAAACAACTCAGAGCAAACACAAGTGAAGCCAGAGTACTAGGAGCTGTGGAGACTCAGACACAGCAAGCAGCACGGGTCCAGGCTGTGAGGGTCTGAGAAGATGCAGCGGAGACTGTCCCTGGAGTACAGGCAAGACTGATAGTGAAGAAGCTGCTTGAGAGGGAGGTGGAAACCTAATGCAACGGAAACTCCAAGGAGTCTACGAGAGAAACCCTAGCAAAGACTGCTGTAATGGGGGACACAGAGTCTGAACCACCATCTTCTGTAACCAAGCCAGCCCCCAAGTGGAAGGATTGGGCACCAACCCAACTACAAAACCTTCGACCTGGTTTGTCCTTCCTGCAGAGTATTCTGGGACCAGAGCCCTCATCAAAGACCAGAGAGACTTCGTCCAGCAACTGACGGGAGCAGATGCAGAGTCCCACAGCCAACCACTAGATGAAGCTTGAAGAGGAGGAGGAGGAGGAGGAAGGATCAGAGGAACCAGAGGGGTTAGGGACACCACGAGAACACAGCACACAGAATCAACTGACCGGGACTCACAGAGATCAGGGAGCCTGTAGGGGTACGACCCAGGTCCTCACATTATGACTGAGTAGCTTCATGTTCTTGTGGGTAACAGTGGGAGCGGGGATGGTCTCTCACTCTTGCCTGCTTGTGGGACCCTTTTGATCCTACTGGGTTGCCTTGTCCAGCCTCGATGTGATGGTTTGTGCCTGGTCTTATTGTAGCTTGTTTGGGTTGATGTCCCTGGGAGGTCTGCTCTTTTCTGAGGGCAGGTGGGGGGGCTGGATTTGGGGGGCAGGAGAGGTAGGAGAGGAGAGCCTCAGGGGAGGGGAAACTGCAGTCATGTAATATATGAGAGAAGAAAACAAAAGAATCCTTTTGACAAGATGGCATGGATTTTTCTGGAATTTTTTTTTTCATTTACAAATTTTATTTATTTAGAGACAGGGTCTTAATTTGCAGCCTTAACTACCCTGGAACTCACTCTATAGATTGGACTGGCCTCAAATTCAGAGATCCACCTGCTTTTGCATCCTCCTGGATACTGAAATTAAAGGTGTACACTACCATGCTTGGCAAAAATTATTTTAAAAGGGAATTACTGCTGACAAGAAAGCTTTGGAAGGGTCATGGAGACTAGGTCAGCTTCATGTCAGATGAGGTCATCCATAGAGAGGAGGTAAGAATAACTCAATGCTGGTGGAAATCTCCAAAGAGCACTATAACACAGCTATAGTGCTAAAGGAAGAGTATGCAGGAAGAGGCTCTGGGTCAACACCTCAGCATCCGGTCTCTGTAGATTCTGGCCCATTCAACTCAGAGACATGACCCAAGAAGACTTTTAAACAGAAATTTAATTGAAAACAAATTTTCAATACAGCTGTTTATGATCATTTTAAAATACATTGCGGTTAAACAAAAATATATATGTGAATGTACGCACGTAGAAAATGTGAAAGATACATACATTGTGGACCTGTTGTAGTGCACTTGGGCAAGTCCTAACAGTTCACTGCAGCATTGTCAAACCATATAGGTTGCTTACCTCTGACATTTCTACCTAGCCTTGCCTCGTATGTAAACATTTCAGAAATGTTTAGAAGCTATCATTTTCACCAAAGGAATCAACCCCAAATTAGCCATGTTTACAAACCATCAAAAGCAGGGGAGGGAAGTGTGGGCCTGTTCAGAATACGTAAAGAAGGGAGTTGGCAAATTGTCAGTCACATTATTTCCAAATTAGGGGAGAGAATATACAAAAAATATTTGAAGATAAACAAGAAAAATGGTAAGTGGGACATGAAATGGTGTTTTCATTAGAAACCCCTTCAAGGGGTATCTCTGAAAGAGTTTTGGATGATATTCAGGGGGAGTAGACAGTCCTTAAAAGATATGGCACTGTGGCAATTCTCCACCAAACCGTGGGAGGTGACACAATCCTCATCGTGGCTGTGCAGTCCAGAAGGCCCCAGCGCGGTCTCAGTTCTTCCAAACCCCCAACAACATGGAAAGTAGACAACAAGATTGAGCCTCTCACAGGCAGCTGGGGAGAAATGGACAGAGTGAACAGAAATCCAATCTGGACAAAGATCACAGAGCTGCTGAGACGTTCTCTGCAGTGAGTGTCAGTGGCCTCCTGACCCTACCCTTCAGGCTGCATGCCCCGTCTACCACGAGGGACTGGGAACTACATGTGTCATGAGCCTGTACGCACAAACCCACCGAGTCAAAGCAGAAAAGGACATACAAGACTTCTTTTTGTTTTTTATGCTTTCCAACATCACGGTCGAAATTACAAATTTGTATTCAAAGTTGTGGTGGAAGCCCAGGCTTCTATTTATGAAACAGACTTTTCATATTGAAAAGGTTTGTGTAAAATGCAGTCTGTCAATCAGATACTACTTAACCCTTCTGAAGACTGATCGGTGCTTTTCGGCAGACGATTCCCCAATGATGTTCTTGAGGGCGGGCACTGTCTTCTTCATGCTGGCACAGAGGATGCTGCCAGTGAGCAGCCGCACCACGACTTCAATGAAACTTTCTTCTGATTGCTTGTTAAACGGACTTAAGGAGTTCTAGTGCCATTTCCCCCGCACCGTTTTGGTTCCATGGCCAAGTTATGAGGCAAACATATAGAGCATAGGAAGAAACAGGCTGGAGGCAGTTTGTAAATGTTCCCATAGCAACGGCACCTCGAATGTTCACTGATTTTCCAGGAGTCTACACAGATGTGCTACCACTTCGTGGGTCTTTTAAAAACAGTCATCAGAAAAGACTGAGTTGCTGCCATACCACAGACTCTCCCCAGATAAGGACTCCTTCCTCATGCTGTGAGAATCATGGACTGGATTTTAAGATGCTGTCAATCATAAAATCATGCAAAATTCTCTTTATAAAAATATAAACCCAAGATGACCTCATCAAAAAAAGCCCCACCCATTTGGCCTTTAAATAGTTACACCTCTCTGCTATATTTCTGCAAACACTTCCCTTGATATACAATTTTTCACTGTCTGTCTTGATTCTGTGGTAGAGATCTGAATCATTAAGGAGGCCTCTGTAAATCATATCTTGAGAGTCTCTCACAGAACAGAGAATTGGAAAACCATGTGTTTCAACAATGGTGACTCTTTGTAGAAAGACAAGCAAACAAAGGACCTTAACTTCGCCAAGGTAATATATTTATGGAGTGGCCTAATATTTGCAGTTCTGATGAAGATTTCAGAACTTTACCCGAGTGAAGTAAAAGTTGTGTTCCATACATTTACTGTCCCCCATTTGCACAGCTCTGAGAACTTTTAAAGTAAAAATGCTCTCCAATGGCTGAAACAGAACATGGCAGGCCGGGCTGAAATGGCATGACCTGTGACTCAGCATGCTATCTAAAAGGAACCAGTTTACAGCACATTAGCAAAATTAGGAAAGTAAGCCAGCATTCAACTGGACTGAGCCTTGGGCAATTAATAAAAATTCACTCACAAGTTAAAAGTATCTAAAGTACAATTTTGTTTCCTTTTTCCAAGTCAAGAGCTGGTTTTCGAAGAATAAAAAATAATTATTATAATTTATTCTGCAACAAATACTATGGAAATAATCTAAACTTCACAATTATGTATGAAAACTGAGACAACATTCCATTTATAAAGTGCCTTCATGGACCCAAACTAGAGGTCAGAGTTCTTTATTGACAAGCCATATTTAGTCACATTCACAGAAAGGCAAGGTCACACAGGGAAGCAGCACAGTACAGTGGAAAGAACTCTCGACTTGGCATCGGATAATCGCATTCGAACATTGGCTTTGCCCCCACTTCGCCCTGCAGTCTTAAGGAAATGAGAGCTTTTCTGGACCTCAGGTTTCTCATGAAAATGAGAGGTAGTACCAGACTGCTGCCAGCACAGTCTTTGCTTAGGTATGCAATTCTACGTAAGTAACGCATTACTCTTAAATCCCAGCATCTACACCTTGTTGGTTCCCATGTTACTGTCCGTAAAAACACGGAAGTTCCGATCAGCTACACTGGGGGTTATTGATTTGGCTGCTTTATAGAGGTACATAGAAGTCACAGTAGTTTGGTTGCCAGTACGTATGTGTAGGCTCTGAAGAATCTAGATAAAGGGAAATCACAATGACATCTGTCGCTATGATCTTATGCCTCCACCGCAAAGAGGACTGGATGGCAGTCAAGGAACACTAACCTACACATAACTAGATACTGTCCTTCACGAAGACGCACACTTCAGTCAAGTTCTTCATCAAGTAATACAACAAATTTTGAAAATACACCTAGTTGGGGATGTTTGTCTGGTAAGGTAACTTTCCCTGAACAAAGCAGGTTTATTATTCAGGGAAAAGACTTTGGTTATTCATAGATTGGCAAATTTATACTCAGATTGGCTTTTTAAAAATGAATATTGGCCTAATGTCAGGAGTATTTTGATTTAATTTTACTACCATAACCAGGTGGTATTTCTTAGTGGGACCACTGGTTAGTATTATGTCTGCATCAAGAACACTAGAAGACAAGCTTTCTTTCTGTGAAAGGTTGTTTCTGCTCACATTTTTTTCTTTTTGTACATACAGGTATGCCAACATTTAAGCAAAAGTGTAAATGCCAACCTGCAGAATGTTAGGAGCTGGCAAGCTCTTGGAACAAGGTGCAAACTTAGTTCACATCAAACATAGTCCATGCCTCACCAAAGGAAAAGCAACGCTCATGAACTGGGCACTGAGGGTCTAGTTAACCAGAAGCACACACTTCGACAACAACTTCACTTCCGTAAATCTTATAACCAGTCAACCATAAAGTGGACTCCATGTGTGCAGTGTCGATACAGTGAGTCACCAAGATTAGCTTGGGAAGGTTCACATCTGAGTCTGTGCCTTCATCTAGACCTCTCATCTCCAGCAGTATGCCCTAACCCATAGAATATCCTGGGATTCATCCGACTCAACTACTCAGAACGGAAATGAAAAAGCAGTACAGGACCAGGACATTTCCATTTGTACGTTCCCTCCTGAAAGACTGCCAAATTTGTTTCAGTCAAACACAATCTACTGCAGGGAGTCTTGGCTTTAGGACTACCTGGCAGAAAGCAAACAGGGTTTGAAATCACCACTTGATTTACAAAAAGGGCACCACAGACATTGTGTGGTGTTCTGCTGCAGTCGAGACTGCTATAGCTCTCCTAATACAGAATAGTTCATAAATTGTAGGTCAGAAGTAGGACAAAAGGAACTCAAAAACTCAGGCAAAAATCAACAGTAAATTCGGCCACCTTACTGATAAAAGTGTCTGTCACTGATCTACACTCTTCATTTTTGCCTTTCAAGGTTTTTAAAATTTTGCTAACAATATTAACTTATTTAAACTAAGGGGAATATTTGTAGGGATAAATGGAGTACAATGGGGAAATGTTCACCCAAACAGCATCTCTCCAGAAGAACTTGAGTGGTTAAGCACCTGTCATCTCTAATTATAGTTGATTTATAATTTAAGACAGGGTCTCTCTGTATCCCTGGCTGTCCTGCAAGACCAAACTGGCCTTGAACTCCAGAGATCTGCTTGTCCCTGCCTTCTGAGTGCTGGGATTAAAGTGTCCATCATCATGCCCATCGAAATTTTATTTTTCAAGTACTCGAGACCCTAGAAAACCAACTATTTGTAAGATACCCATTTTAGAAAGAATTCTATATCACCATATTTGCTCCACAGTGATAACAGTTCACACTCAATCAAATGCTGTCCTAGAATTCCTGGAAGTAATTTGTATTTGTGCAAACAAAATCAGAAAACAAAACAAAACAAAAACCCTGTACTACTTGGCACCTGAAAGAGGATGAAGATGTAAAATGTCACTGTCACAGTTATTTCTGCCAACTCTGCGGTGCTTTTTCTCATCACTATCAGAATCTATAAAAATGATGGGGACAGCTACTGGAGGATTCCCCACAGCCAGGTGAAGGGTTTATAGAACCTGTAACGGAGGAGAGTTTTTGGTTTAAATGAGTTTTTCCAATGTATTTGCACTTTTGAAACTAGTCTACAAAATATCTTAATGTGATCACTGAATTTTTTATAAAGCAAAATAATGTTCTTTTTCACAAGACAAGAAATTTAATATACTTAAACCTATGCTGGAAATACACAAAAGACAATTACACATGTTACTAGCAAGTCTTATTTTGTACAAATTACAGAATATCCATTAAAAAACCATACATATGACCTTGGATGGTACATTTCTATGCTGGCAAATATATTTTCGGATACAAAGGCACTTTGAAAACCCAATATGGTTTGGTTCATAAGTTTGCAAGGTACAAACAATTTTACAAACGTATGATTACACTGAAGAGAGTCAACAACTGTGACATCACATAGAAAACAGACTTCTGTTTGCAAAAACAACACTGGTTTTGTGGGGATAAAAGCAGTGGTTTCCAGCAGCTTTAGTGAAGATATTCAAAAGACTGGCGGCCCACGGTCTGAATTTCTCACTGGCTGGGTGTGATGATAGGATGGGCTGAAGGTGATCAGCAAGAACCCCCAGAAAAAGAAAAAAAAAGAGAGAGAGAGATAACCCAAGACCCCAGAACAAACCCAGAAACCTTAGCAATCGGAATGGCTTGGAGGGAGAGCACACAAGGCCACAGTCTGGGCAGGATCCGGCTGGGATCCCCAGCACACGCCGACTCTACCTGCACTACTGGGTGCTTCCGAGTTGTAGTGATGACGTCTCCGTTTTCGAGCACTGGGTAGTACAATGCTTTGGATTGCACAGTACTGGAAAATTTTGGTCCTCAAACAATTTCTTTTCATTGACTACATCGCTGCAAAGTCAATCTGTACATAAAGCTGCCTCACTCCAGCCTGAAAAGTTAGAGAGAACAATTAGAACCAAACCTGTAAAACCTGTAACAGATGACCATTCTAAAAAAGTGGCAGGAAAGCAAACACCACCTCATTTTTCTTTGAAAATGGAATCATTTTTGTCTTCTGCTTCCAAGAAATAATCTATTTTCATTTTAAGTTGTCAAACTACTACAGAAAAAAAAATTCTATGCTATTAGTCACACGCCCTACTCATGTGCTATTAGATGGGGTTATCCATTTGCCATCACTGTTTAGAGGACACGACAGTGCTTGATTAGCCACTATTAAAACCAGCTTACCACAGGCTAGCTCTTCCCATGACAACATAGGCACTTATTTAATAATCACAACCAGCAACTGATTACTTATTTTACATGCCAGTTCCTTCAGTTTGGGATATGAACTTGCTATTCAAGAACACTGCTCTCTAAATTACCCCCTATTTCATCTATATTATCAATTTTATTCTTTCAATTGGGTCATTTCTATTAGTGTCAAATACACTATAGTTTCCTCTACCTTAAAAATCTTTTACCTCACCCAGCATCCCTTCCTGCCTGGATAGTTTCAATCTCTGCTCTTGTGGGTAACCAAAATACCCAAACATGTCCACAGTCACTGTCTCTAATTCTGTTGCTCTTGCAGGCATTTCAACCCTGATTTTACATCTCACCACTTTCTACAACTATCTGTCAAGCAACTTCCAAACTGCTCATACCATTCCACACCCAGTTCTCAGTCCTGATTATCAGGAATAATACATATTACCAGTCTCCTCAAGCCAAACACTTTCCCTATGACACTTTCTGAGAATATTCACTGGTCAGTCTCCTTCACTGTTTCTTCTATAATTGAGCAATAAACACTGACAAAAGGCTTAGTCCTTGTAATCTATACTTGTTCTCTAATGGTCTCTCTTTACAGCCAGATTGTAAGTCAACCTTTGCATGTGTTCATACCTCCAGGTTTGTATGTCCAGACTGGAGCTTGCACCTACCACTTGCATTGGAACTTGACATTGTATTGGGGGTATCTAAGAAGCAGCACAGGGCCACGGTACTCTTTCTTCCCATCAAACCAGCTGACCTACCCTCAGTACTGTCCTTCTAAACCTCTTTCTGTTTCTCACATCCAATATCCAATCTACTTGCAAAACTTGGTGGCTTCCCGTCCAAAATATTATCCAAACCAGAACTTGACCACTTTACATCATCTCCATCACTTTGAACCCACCCTAGCCACCATCAACTCTTGTCTAGATGTTATCAATGCCCCTTGCCTGGCTTTCACATTTCTGTTTATTCTCAGAATACTAACTACAAGGACAAGTGTCCCTCTATGCCTCCAACTACCCAACAGCGGATCTCCCTTAGTCCTTACAATGGCCACCAGGCTGCTGTGGAATGCGGCTCCTGACTTGCCATTTGATCTCACTGATCACTCCTCCTCCTCCTCTGTTTACTCCCCTTAGCTATACAGCCTTCCTGGGAACTTTGCTCCTTACGACAGCCACACGACTGTTGCGGAGTATTCCTTTACACTGTGTGAAGATGTGTCACTGTGATTGGTTTAATAAAGAGCTGAATGGCCAATAGCTGGGCAGGAAGAGGTTAAGCAGGACTTCTGGGGATAAAGAGGATTCAGAGAGGAAAACAGGTGGGGTTGTGAGGCAGACATGGAGAAAGCAGCATGAATAGTATGGAGAGATGCCATGCAACAGAACGTAAATTAAAATAAATGAGATAATTTAAGTTATAAAAGCTAGTGGGACAAGCCTAAGCTAAGGCCAAGCTTTCATAATTAATAAAAAGTCTATGTGTTATTATTTGGGAGCTGGTGGTACAGAGAAAGACTTGCTACAGAAGATGTTCTCATCACACCCCTATGAAGACATCAGTGAGGGCTGTCTTCACAACTCTGTGATGATATATTGTGTCCCCCAATATATTGTGTACCCTAATAAAACTTATCTGGGGTCAGAGAACAGAATAGCCACTAGATTACACATAGAGGCCAGACAGTGGTGGCATACACCCTTAATCCTAGCATTCCAGAGGATCTCTGTGAGTTCAAGACCACATTAGAAACAGAGCCAGGCATGGTTCCTTTAATCCCAGGACTTGAGATCTCATGTCTTTGCTTGGGAAAGACACATGCCTTTAATCCCAGGAAGTGATGGCAGGAAGCAGAAAGGTATATAAGGTGTGAGGACCAGGAACTAGAGACTTTTAAGCTTTTAGGCTTTTAACAGTAGTTCAGCTGAGATCAATTCAGATGAAGACTCAGAAGCTTCCAGTTTGAGGAAACAGGATTGGCTGAGAAGTTGGAGATATAAGGTTAGCTGTGGCTTGTTCTGCTTCTCTGATCTTTCATTTTCACCCCATTATCTAGCTCTGGATTTTTTTTATTTAATAAGACCTTTTAAGATTCGTCTTACACAAACCTTACAAAATGCATTTACTTTTTTTGTTCGTTTGTTTGTTTTTCGAGACAGGGTTTCTCTGTGTAGCTTTGGAGCCTGTCCTAGAACTCACTCTGTAGCGCAGGCTGGCCTCAAACTCACAGAGATCCGCCTGCCTCTGCCTCCCGAGTGCTGGGATTAAAGGCGTGTGCTACCACTGCCCGGCTGCATTTACTTTTTTAATCTAATAAGTATTTACTCTTGCATTTATTGCTTTCCAAGCAATAGCCTCTCACCTAGGAATACAAAAGGGGGAAAATAGCCTGACAAAATAGCCTTGTCTTCACAGTCTATCAGGATCTGGAGAGGAAGAAGAGGGAAGGACAAGAGAAGAAAACACCAGTTGTCAGATGTAATGCCAGAGGGAAAAACAAAGACCGCTTAGGAGAAGACGGATACTTCAGACAGCCCAGCCTCCTTCCACCCTCACCCACATCCCTGCCACTTTGTTAGGTCAGCCCAGGACCAGACACACCTACATTGCCATTTAAGATCGTAAGATTACTTATTCAGTCTGTTTATCATTTCTGTTCTTCCACTATAATGTAATCTCTCCAAGAGAAACATATTTGTCTTCTTTTGTATTCTAGACTCCCAGAACCTTCGTAATATCTGACACACAGCAAGAGGTCAATAAATATTACTGAATGAATTAAAATCCTATTAATTTCTTTCTTTCAAGCAAAAACTACTTTTACATAGAAGCAGGAAAAAAAGGAAAGAAACGAGAATGCTCTTGCCAATACTTTATAAGGAGAGGTTCTCAGCAGGGGATAAAGAGGTATTAATGTGACCTTAGAACAGTAACACTGGGCTCCTCAAAACACTACTCATTTCTATTACGGCTCATTTTTTCTGGAACTCAGGTGGAAAGGTTCTGTGCAATAGTGATGAATGCATGAGCTAGCTTTAGGACCTATTCCAGTAGAATGCAAAAGTAGACAGACCCTAAGTTGTCAGCACAGAAAATATGCTTTTTGCCTTCCTGCAAAAGCTAAAACTCTTGTTATTTAGCTTACAGAAAAGTGAACTTGTTTCCACTTCTCTTTGACTAACAGGCTTGTAGGGAAGAACTTGGCATTGGTATGATCTTTAGCCACAAATTAAAACCTAAGCCCAGTTCTCCTCACCGAAATAGTGTTGATGAAATCAGGGCTACTGACTTGCAGGAGGGTTATATGCTCATCTAATATTTAACAAGTAGTTAATAACCCCGCTTCCCTAGAGTGGGCACTGTTGTCAGGGGCATGTGTGAATATATGAGAAAACAATTTCACTCGCTACAAAGGCTGTTATTATAAATTATTCTGATTTACTGCAAGGATATGAGTTGATTTACTCAACCCAGATGGCTCTGGGATCTTCTATGAGTAATCTTAATAGAAAGTAAAAATGTTGCCCAAACATATTGTTTAATATCTTTTCTTTTTAAACAAAATTGCTAATGAAAGTAAAATGGGCAAAACAGTTGGGCTCCTTTTTATTGCCTGCCATTTTCATTACCCCAGTCTTAGCACGGGAAGACAGTAATAAGAAATGAGTAGCCCAAGGCGATGAAGAGGGGACAGAAAAACAAAGGGGCTAGATAAATTATCTTTGCATAATCATGAGTTAATTACTCAATCTGATATCAGTCCCTGAGGGGACAGCAGCTTTCCACAAAAGCTCAGTCCAACAGCAAAGATAAAGAAGTCATTTGCTGCATCCACCTGTCCCAGTGGGGCCAGGCAGCTTGGTTCTCCAGTTCCCATGTTCATTCCAATCTCCTTCAAAGTAAAGAGAAAGCCAAATTTCCAAAGAATCCTCTGGCCAGTGACCAATGCCTGATACAAAGAGATCTAGGGTTAACCGACAGGAAGACGTGACAGCTATCCCACTGGTCTGCACCTTCTTTAATGGGAAGGATGGCTAGTCATTTTAACCCTCTCAGTTCACTGCCCTGTCTCCACCCCAAAAGTTAGCCTGGTGCTACCAGCTTGGGAGAGCTCCAAGAAAGAAGTTAAAGTCAGAAAAACAAACAGGAATATGACTGCAGAAATGGTTGTTTTACTTGTATTCTCTTGGACCAAAGCAATAGATACATTTTTACTTGAGTTTTTGACTGAACATGTTAATCTTTATTCCTTTGAAATGCAAAAGGGGGGCTAGGAAGATGGCCCAGAGATTAAGAGCACTGCTCGCTCTTCCAGAGGACCCAGGTTCGATTCCCAGCACCCATATGGTGGCTCACAACCATCTGTAATTCCAGTCCCAGGGATCTGATGCCCTCTTCTGGCCTCTGCTGACACTAGGCACACACATGATGCACAGACATATATGCAGGCAAAACACCTACACATATAAATTTTTTTTAAAAAAATGTAAAATGAAGTCATGTAGAACTATCTTCCTTTTCCATGAGAGATACTACAGAATTAATGAAATGTAAGTAAATATAACTAAATTGTAAGTCAAGAATAACAATATAACTGGTTATCATGATACACCTGTTATCCCAGTGCTCTTGAAACAGAGGCAGAGGCAGGAAGCCTATAACTTTGAAGGTACCCTAGCTACAGAGCAAGTTCAAGGCCAGCCTGGGCTACTTAATGACACAGTCAGTGAGAAGAACCAAGAACTGGGGATACAGCTCAGTGCTGACTTAACATCACAAAACAAACAGAAGTAAAAAGAAAGAAACCAGATCTGGTGTTTTTTTCTGTAAACCGCCTGTGGTAACGAACACATTAATCCCTATCACTGTAACTGACACCTCGCGGGCTCTCAGTGCCGGTGTTGCCGCCACTGCCGCCGTTATTATGTCCACTACTACCGGCGAGCCAATGAACACACAGACCATATGGTTTAATGGAAACAGCAGACCTAGGGATACATAAGATCCCATAGCTGTCTACTTAGCCTCCTGGACTTTAGGTACATGTGATAAAGGAAGGTGAGAAAAATGGCTAAGGGAAAGTCTGAAGAGCAGGCAAACAAAATAAATCAATACCCAATAAACATTAAAGCCCATTACAAAAAGAAAAAAAGAGAGTTGGAAGGGGAGGAAAACCGGAAACCTACTTAGAGGGGGGAATACGACCCTTTCTTCTGTGCATACCACTCAAGCAGAGAGCACAAGCCTGACCGATGCTGCCGGTCAGAGAAAGGGGGACTATGAACACAGGAGGCTGGAGGAGGCGGAGGGTTTCTGTAATTTAGGGACTCGGACTTGTGTTTGGGAGGATGGTCAGAGAAAGGGGGGACTATGAACACAGGAGGCTGGAGGAGGCGGAGGGTTTCTGTAATTTAGGGACTCGGACTTGTGTTTGGGAGGATGGTCAGAGAAAGGGGGGACTATGAACACAGGAGGCTGGAGGAGGCGGAGGGTTTCTGTAATTTAGGGACTCGGACTTGTGTTTGGGAGGAGGCTTTTTGATTCCTTCCTGGATATACTGTTCACTTCTATTTTGAGGTCAGAGGACAGAGCACAAAAGGCAGGAAGCCGGGGGCTCAGGAAGCCGGGGGATCAGGACTTAACTGGCCTAGTGGGGAGAGCAAACTGGGAAACTGAGTAGGATTCTGCCAGGAGAGAATGTGTAGTAGTTTGGCTGGCTTTTGTGCTTTAAGGAATGGAGGGGGATAATGAACCTCAAGTACATTCTAGATCTTTCTTTGAACATATTTAAGACTTTTTTCTTCAAATACTATTTTAATAAAACAGAGTATATTAAGGTTACAACCATCATTGTGAAGTATACCATTAACAAGTGATCTTGGCCAGTTTAAACAAAAGCTGTAAACCACTGCATTGCTTCTAACCCAGAGTCCCACTTTCCATCTGTTTCTAAGTAAACACAGAAACAAATTCCCCATTTCTCCAGTTATCAACTGATCATTCATTTCAAACCATTAGTTTACATGGACACCGAGGAAGACTTGGCTGCACAAGACAACTTGGACTGTCCACACTGGGTTACACCTCACTACTATTCCTAAAGGAGTACGAGCCCCCAAGTGACTTCCAGCAGCTCCCTCCCCTCTCCCACACTCACTCACAAGCCTGTCTTTAGCAGCTGAAGAGAAATCGGTGCCTCTGGAAAATGATAAAAAGACAAGGCCACACAGTTCTAAAATCACACAGACGTAGACCACGTAACTAAATAGAAACTTCAAACTGTCTGATTTCTGTTTCTTTCCATTTAAAGTGACCTAACGCAAGCTTTCATGAAAATGTCTGTAACGAAAGCCCACCCCTTACATTCTCACTCAGGGTCAGCGGGAAGAAAGACACCAAACACACAGAGTCAACTCAGCAGCAGGAAGTCCTCCTCCTTTAGAACCAAGAATAGACACTTTCTACAACAGAAAGCATCAGCACGAGTCTAAAAAGTGGATTCATTTACTTTACATCTACTCATTTTGTGTGGGGTGCTTGTGGAGGTCAGGGGAGTCAATTTTCTCTTCCCATCATGTGAGGTAGGTCATTAGGCTTGGCAGCGAGGTCCTTCAGCTGCTGAGACATCTCACTGTATGTATCATTTTTGCCCCCCTCGAAAAAGCAGTCAACTGGGTTTCATTTTCATAAGTGAGAGTTCTAAGTAAGATGTAACTTAAAACACAAAGTAATTTAAAAATTTACTTTCATGAAATGAAATTTGTTACAGCAAGCCCTGACATTTACTCATGCTTCAAGGACACATATTACCACTGCATAAACAGAAAAGGAAATAAATTATTTAAATATTCTATTCTGGTATGTGAGCACAAAAAAAAAAAAAAGATCAAAAAAAAAACCACTTTAGAATCACTAAGTGTAAATAAAAGTTATTTTAGAATGTGACCCCTACTTCTCCGGAGTGGCGTGGGTGGGGAAGGGCTTTGATTACCTTTATAGCAAGCCTCAAAGAGAATCCCTGGTAGCTACAAGGAGTGAAATCAACTAGTCAGGACCTTAGCTGACAAACGGCTTTAAATATTCAAAGCTCAAATATCGTTTCTGAGACAGAAGAGGCAGCAGAAGGAACGTTCAGATTCAGCCATTTCCAAAGGCAGGGTTAAGACTTCGGAAGCCTTCCTTTGCTCCTGCGGTTACAGCTTCAGCAGCCCCGACAGGCAGCTGCTGCCAACGCGGTTCTCAAACTAGAAACTGCACTCCTTTTCACAGAGAAAACTGTGACTCGGTGACAAAGCCCTGAGTGTGTAGGTGTGCAGGGTGTCCTAGAAGCTCACAGAAGCCCCACTTTGAGGATGGACGGAGCACTAGGAGAAGACACAGGGTAAAGGAGAGGACCGTGGTCTGGAGGGGGCAGTAAGCAGAAGGTTACTGCCACGTCCCTTCTCCTTTGTCCCTGAAACATGGAGCCAGTGAGAAGTATTCAGATACACTGCATAGGCCTCCAAGGCTTCATTAAGAAAGCCACAATGATACACGTTTATAGAGATGAGACACATTTATGTACTGTGTCTCTCAGAAAGATGTTAAAATTCTGAGCAAGTGGTACCAGCACACTGTATAGCAGAATCTTAACTGCATCTAAGATTGGGATTATGTAAATCCTAATTAACATTAGCTCTGTCAGTAATTCATTCATAAGGAACCTAAGCATGTGTGTCTCTCATCAGGAGGCAGAATCTCTAATTTCTGTAATGCCTTGAATTTAACTAGACTGCATATTATATTCATGTCTAAAGATATGGGGGAGAGAAAGAGAAATATGTACCCAGTGACACATATATCATAGAAAAGTAAGTCTGCTTAGAGGGATGCTTAGACTCCATTCAACAATACTAACTGAAGTGGAAGGCCCTGGGTTAATACCCAGCACTGGAAAAAATAAAATAAAAGGAAAGAAAGAAAGAAGATCGTTAAGGACTTTTAAAGGCCTTCCAGATGTTGGCTCAGGTTGGAGAGCAATGTCTCCTGCCCTTTTCCTTTAGTAGCTTCAATATTTGATACGTTAAACATAGGATTTTTAAAGCTAGCAGATACAGAGAAACGTAAGACTCTTAAAAGAGGTTTGTGACAAGTCATACCTGAGTAAAAATATTATGTGTTTGGCTTAAGATCCACCTGGCGTCAGCATCAGGGGCGACTATGAGCTTCAAGGTCCCCACGTAAACATCAGAACAGAGCGTCCAGAAGTGCTGCTCCTGTAAGCTGTAAACTCCTTGTAACTGCTGCACCTGAAACACAGGCCAGATGTCAGCGTCAAGATCAAGACAGCCCCCTCTTACCTACATATAACTATCGGGCAAATCAGAAAAAGGGATGCTGGGACAAATGCCTACAGAGTACTCGTGTTCCGGTGACACTGAGACAGACTGGAGAAAGAGAATGAACGAACACTTATCAAACTCTGTAGAGACATCTGAGGGGAACTAGAGGGAAGTTCTCATTTCACACATGGATCAGAGAAGTGTTTAAGTACAGCCAGGTCACAAAGCAGGACAAAGTATGACAAAGTAGACCACAGAAAAAGGGGGAGGAAACAAAGGCCAGAAATCAACACAGACTTAGAAGTGACTGAATTCATTCCACTGAAAAGGTTAATGGGCCAGAGGGACATTTCTTTTATTAAAGATACAATCTGAATACCTACACAAATGGACAAAACACAGGACACGCAGTTAAGAAGAAGTATGGCAGTGAGATGACCACGCCCCGTTTTCTGATTTTGCAGCTCCCCTAACTCCTTCTCCACCTCCTCCACCCATGCTCTGCATTTGGAGGTGAAAACAGAGCCAGGAGAGCAGAACTCTGTCCTCTCCCAGGGTCACCACATGCCTTCTCCATGCTTCAGACATTCCTCTGTCCTCATGTCCCCACCCCCGAGAACCTGATCCATGGCCCGCACATGCTGGCTAGCACTCTACTCCTGAGCTACTTCCTGGCCTGACTTTAAATCTTTTCAGTCCTAATCAGTGCCCACGATGCCAGATGTGCTACTTAGCTGTCATTCTCCCTAAATGTCTGTTGAGCATTTCAATCTTAATGTATTATAAGCAAAGTCTTATTTGGAATTAACTTCCTGCTCTCCAACACTTCCCACCCTCCTCTCAGCCTCAACAGCACCATTACCGTACACCAAGCTGTGAGACAGCACCCTTTCCCCTTCACTAATGCGAACCTCTAAAAACACGTCCCAAATGTGTATTTGCCTCCATCTTGCTGCCAATGACAGAAGTCTGAGCCAGCTTTTAAAACATGCTCTCTACATAGGACAATCTTGTTAAAGCACAAAACTCATTACATTCCCACTGCGCCAAAGCATTCCAGATCTTCCCACTGAGAGTGAAGTCTAAGCCTCTTAACATGACCAAGACCTCCTAACATCTGGTCCTTGCCTTCTTTCCAACCTGCCAATCACTTTTCCCCTTATTTATCATGCTGCAGCCACAAAACCTGTTTTGCTAGTCTCCAAATACACTAAATTAGTTCCAGCCATAGCTGCCTCCCATTAGTGGTTTTGTGTGTGTGTGCATTCTGGAACATTCTTCTTAAGGATTTGTATATTCCTGGACATTTCTGGTCATCAGGGTTTCAGTTTCCTTGGATATAGCTTCCTTGCTGAATCTGATGTAGCCATCCATATCTACCACATTCTCATTTCATTTCTCACAGTGCACATCACTGACATTTTCGTATCACTAACATCACTTAACATGTTTGTGCCCACTAGACTGTGAGCTCCATGAGAGCACAGTGTCTTTCTTTGTTCACCATTTGTCTCTAGTGTTTTAGAAGAGGATCTGATACACAGTGAACACCACAAAAACAAAACAAACCAAAATCGAGAAGGTGGGGGAGATGGTTTCAGCAGTTAGAGTACTTGCTGCTCTTCAGAGAACTGGAGTTCAGTTCCCAGGACCCACGTCAGGCAGCTCACAACTGCCGGAACTCCAGCTCTAGGGGCTCTGATGTTTCTTCTGTCCTCAAAAGGTACCCACACACGTGGCATACATACACAGAAACACATGCATATGCATAGAAATAGATATTTTCAAATACACTGGTGTGGTGGTGTGAATGAGAATGGTCCCCATAGGCTCATATATTTGAATGCTTAGTCCCCAGGGTGTGGGAAGGATTAGGAGGTGTGGCCTTATTGGAGGTGGTGTATCACTAGGTGAGGCCTTTGAGGTTTCTTTCTTTCTTTCTTTTTTTTTTTTTTTGGTTTTTTGAGACAGGGTTTCTCTGTGTAACTTTGCGCCTTTCCTGGATCTTGCTCTGTTGACCAGGCTGGCCTCGAACTCACAAAGACCCGCCTGCTTCTGCCTCCTTCCTGAGTGCTGGGATTAAACCGTCTGGCTGCTTTGAGGTTTCAAAATACCACAGCAGGCCCAGTTGTGTGTATGTGTGTCTTTGTCTGTCTCTCTGCCTGCAGATCAAGATGTAGCTCTTAGTTACTGCTCTAGCGCCATGCCTGCCTGCCTGCCTGCCTGCTGCCATGCTCCCTGCCATAATGAAACAGACTAAACCTCTGAAACTACAAGCAAGCCCCCAGTTAAATGCTTTCTTTTATAAGAGTCGCTTTGGTCATGGTGTCTCTCACAGCAATAGAACAGTGAATAAGACAGTTATATACTTATAATATATGCTTATTTAATCAGTTAACATATTCTATTTCTTTAAATAGCTCAATTTCTAGACGTGGACAGTACATACATTTTCTTTAGTAAAGTTTAGTAAACTCATTACTTCATAATGAGCTTACTTGGGTTTATATGAATGACATTCATGGTCACCATGCAGTCTTGGAAGAAAGATTAAATTATATGCACATACCACTCATATTTATACAAGATGAAAATCCTAACAGTTTGGAAACAACATACACTCCAAGAGTTTGCCAATCTTACCCTCTGATAGCACTGGGGAAGTGTATTTTCCAACGAGGGAGGAGTTCTCTGCATTAATATTCCAACAGACTCTCTTAAAAGAGGAATAACACTAAAGGAAAAAAAAACTTATTAAGCCATGTTTTAATAATCTCTGTTTGCAAAAAAAAAAAAAAAAAAATCCCTGTTTGCAAGATGGTAATACTATACTTCCTTAAAGTACAGAGTATGATTTAATAGAATTTCAGAAAAAAATAACCTACTGGTCTTTGTTCCAAATTTCTCATAGATTCAGAAAGTTATTGAGTAAAGGATCTAGAGAGACTATATCCACTAATGTATCCATTGATTTATCTACTATTCCCCCCCCCCTCCCCCCCCCCCCCCCCCCGAGACGGGGTTTCTCTGTATAGCTTTGCGCCTGTCCTGGAACTCACTCTGTAGCCCAGGTTGGTGTCCAACTCACAAAGATCCACCTACCTCTGCCTCCCGAGTGCTGGGATTAAAGGTGTGCGCCACCACCGCTCGGCTTGTCTACTATTTCTAAATCTGGTTATTTATTTACCAGTCATAGCTCAAAAAGAAGCATGTGTGCATGCACAGTACTCATGCACCTGTGCCTGTGGATGTCTGAGAAGACTAGAAGAAGGCGTCAGATCCCCTGGGGCTGTCAGCTGTGAGTCACCCAATGTAGGATCTGGGAGCTAAACTCTGGGCCTCTGCAAGAGCAGCAAGTGCTCACAACTGCTAAGCCGCCCCCCCCCCCCCCAGCCCTCTCAGTCATATTTTCACTATTTAGAATATAGAGTAGCCTGGTTACTCCCACAGACGGATGAGGACTCCTCTAGGAATGGGGTGCAAAGGTCACTACGGACACAGGTGATCTTCACCCAACATCCGAATTATTGCTTTAGGTCATTTGGATGACTGTGCTAAAACAAAACGAACAGCACAGTGCTAAGGGTGATGCCAGTGCAATAACCCTCTAACCTTGGAGCTCACTTTGCTTTTAGTTTTGACATGATGAACCAGCCTATCTAAGGAAGGCCCACTCATCTACAGGTCTGCAAAGCTCTGCAGATGATTCCATCAGGGGGTGACACTCTGCTCCCCTGTTGGTACAGATCGGGGGAGGGATCAGAAATTACCTCACTGCCTTTAACAACTGAGGCCACTGCTCACTACCTTGGGCAATCTCTAAATGGCAAATACAGAGTTCTCTTGGAAGCATCTGCAGGAGGTGGGGACCACGGGAATTCAGGCCTGTGATCTCAAAGCATCTCACAGCAAAGCAGCAATGGAACTGTGCCTTAAGGATTCATGATATATCTAACACAAGAAGAGATACTACTGTAGACCAATGTCTGGCTCACCATCATAGACAGAACTGTGCCTAAAGGATTCCTGCTATTTCTGACAGATGAGAAGGAAGAGCAACTACTAACGCAGACCAAAGGAACAGGGGCATTGTCTGGCTCACCATCATATTCCAAAGGAGGCCTAGTAAAGTGCTGGTCACCAAGTATGCCCGTGATAAGTGTTGACTGAATAATTGACAGATACACAGATAGCAGGCATTTTAGAATCTAGATTAAAGAAAAGGACACAGAAAAAGAATTAGAAGTGTGTTCCCAACTTTTAAATATAGAATGATTTCTTGAGTAAAAAAGAACAGCAATGGGAACAAAGACAGAGGAGATTCAACAGATGGAAATAACTGGGATCTTACAATATAGGGGAGCACACAGTGACAGCCAGGTTGAGGACAAGCCAGTTTACTAAGCATGGAGGCGAGGGAGCTGAGAGGATGGCATTTTCCACCTGGACAGAGTTTCAGTCATACTCAAGTTAAACATATTTGTTTAGTGACAGCTACAAGAATGAAGAATTAAATATCATCGGTGATTCCTTCTTAACCCTAGAGCCTTCATGCTCTATCCATGCATCTATTAATGAGATGTCCTGATCCTACACCCAAGAGGGTTTGTTACTAGTTCATCCTACTCCACAGCCACAGTGATTTCCAGATCGCTCACCTGGATTATTACATTAGCCCCCAAAGTGCTCCCGGGCATCTAATCTTACTGCCCTAAATCCACCTGGCAGGCAGCTTCAAAGATGGCTCCCAAGACCCTTGGGATTCATGTTCCCAGGTCATCTACCCCCTAAAATGTGTTTAGGGTGGAGGGAGACCTAACAACTTGCTACAATGGACAGAGTATGACAAGTGATGAAATCAGCTTCCTGATTAGTGTCAACACTCTGGCCTCTGACCTAGCTTCTTTCACCCTCACTTGCTACCTCACAGCCGCCATATTGTGAGCTCTTTTCCTAAGAGGCCCACGGGTCAAGAGAAGAAGGGACACCTCTGGAGAGGAACTAGAATCCAGTCCACTAGCCCCAAACAACAGAAGACTGTCAGCAGCTTCTCCCTCAGCTGACCCTGCAAAGACTGCAGCCCAGGCTGACAATGTGATTGCTGCCTTGTGAGAACTCCCAGTTAGCCAGGCCCACAGCCTCCTGAGCTACAGAGACTAGAGGAGAAGAATGCATATTAGCTACTAGGTTTCTGTGGAATCTGTTCTACATCTATACATAACAGCTATTTCTATAGAGCTATGAGGCTAACCCACAAAAAACAAGCACCCGATCCTGTGTTCCCTACTAAATGCTGGGTCAGAAGCTCCCCATTTCCTAAGGGATGAAATGTGAGCTCTTCAACATGGTACTGTTTTGGGGGAGAGGAGGGAGGTCTCTGATCCCTCTACCTTTACCGCCTCTCAATCCCTGCTTCACATGTAAGCTCTTCAAACATGACATAGCTCATCTTGTTTCTTCCTGTCACACTTTGGCTAATGCTATAATCTCTGCCTAGAACGTTCTTAAGTGGGCCTTTTGTTCAGATTCTATGATTTCTTTAAAACTCAAGTCTGACTTCCGTTGGGGTGTGTTTGTTGATCATGACCTGTCCTCTGAACTATGCAATGTCTACTCTTAGCTCCTATAAAAACATGAATGATGTGGGACGTGGTGGCACATGCCTGTAATCCCAGCACTCATGAGCCTGGGGCCAGATTGTGACACCTAGAAAGACTGTCTCAGAAAAAGACGGAAAAAATATCAGTGGTATCTATGGAATTGTTATATTGCAAAATCATCAAGCTGTTTTCCTCTCTATATACTGAAAAGTACTTTATGGATTAGAACTTCTGTTTGTGTCCCCAGCATTTGAATGTTTGGTGTATAACTATATATGGAACAGAATTTACAGCTAAATCCACTGAATAAAATTAATTCAAGGAGTACACTTTAGGTCATGGAAAATTACTAAACCTCTCAGAATATATGAAATATTAACAGAAAACACACGAGTGCAGACTGTAAAGCTCAGTAATGAAACACGTGGCAACAGAAAAGGCATCTCCAGTAGCTTACAGTCACAATAAAGGAAGAAAATACAACCAGAAGGCCATTACTTAAAACAATACAATATGCTCCAGGCCTTCCATCACACACTTTCGGGAGTCATGGTTAGGTCGGAGAAGGCTGGAAAGAAAACCAACTGGAGAAGAATCAAGGAGTTGGACAGTTAAGACTACTGGTTGTCAATGAACTCACCTACACTGCAGAGGAACCCCTGTTTCTGTCTAGCATCCACACTAGTAAGATTCGTGAACAAAGTCAACCAGACTTTGTTCCCATCGAGTGGGAACAAAGACATGAGAAGGACGATGTATGATTACTCTGTTTGTTTCTTCCCTCCAGCTTCATTTCTCAAGGAAAAGAAAGGGTAAGTCAGAAAGGGCTTCACATACTTAAAGGGTCAGCCATCACCTTTACTGACCGCGCTCTTCGAAGAAAACTGGAACCGTTACCAGTCACAGCAAGCCCCCCACTGCAGCCATGGACGCGCACCTAGCTTTCCTAACAGAGGTCTGAAGTGGTGTCTGGGGGTCAGGTGTGGGCTTTGGGAGGACACCAACAGCTGGGGAAGACAGTGCTTGCTCACTCACAGGAGGAAGTGGATTCAGAACCAAGGTCATTTTCAAAGTCCATAGAATGTAAAAAAAAAAAAAAGCCTATAGGGACTCCACTTTTGCCTTTGAAATTGTGTTTAGCTCAGGAGTTTCTGTCCATATTTTTCTGATTAACTATCATAACGGGGAATCATAAAACGGACTTCAGCATGGCTCTCTCTAGCCATAATGAAAGGATATGGAGGAAAAGGCAAGCTGAGCACATTCCTGGCTGAGGTAAGACTGAGAGCTGCATCCAAACCCTGCAGGGAAAGGAAGAGCAAGCATCTGGAAACAGTCAGAGGCTCGCTTCTGGTTGACTAACTCAATTCTAGCTTTCACAATGGAATGCTGGTTTCCTTTCACAAATGACAAGGGATGACTCATTAAGCATGAATTTACCAGTAAAACAAAGTAATAGTTTCATTCTTCAAAAACTCAACATAAATCTATGGTCATACTATAAACATAAAATTAATTCCAAAGCCTTTTAACAGGCTAAATGAGCAACATTTACTCTGTGCTTCAAGTAACTCTGCAATGGAAATAAATTCAACTTTTATTTCAGACACAGCTTTTAGGGAAAATTCAGCATATTTCAATAGTAAATTAAATAACCTAACAGTAACTACAAATAAGGTAAACAATGTATTGGGGTTGGTGAGATGGTTCAGTAGCACTTGCTACTCATGCAGAATGAGTAGAACTGAGTTTAGTTCCCAGCACCCATACCAGCAACACACAAGTGCCTATAGTTTCAGCTCCAGGGGGCTCGTGCCCTCTTCTGGCTTCCACGGGCACTTACATGGATGCGTACATACACAGGCACACTTAGATATATACAAATAAAATAATTCTGCGAGTCTGGAAAGATGGCTCAAAGGTTAAGAGCACTCTGTACCCCTGCAAAAGACCAGCAACAGCTCCCAGCACCACATAGTGGCTCACAAGCCTCCAATGATAACTCTAGGGACTCTAACGCCCTCTTCTGGCCTCCATGGGCACCAGGCATGCATGTGGAACACAGACATACACATATCTAGGCAAACACTCACACATTTAAAAATAAAAATAGTGAAATCTTTACATCTTTTAA